GTTGCATATTTCAAAATGATTTCAAATTCATAAGACTATAATACGTCAGCAAAAATTAAGAACTGATGCTAGACACACTTTTGGTTTATTTTCTAGAACAAGATGGATTGGGATGGTGAAGAAATATTCAGATTTGCATTGAAGGTTTCACGTTGCCCTCCATACTTACGTGATTCGATAGGAAGAAAAGGCCGGAACTGGATACCGTGACCTAATTACTGTTCTGCGCGAGAGGTGCGGCTAATCGCGAGACTTGGTTAACTTATCATCTTCCAGTAAATATTTAGATACTGAATATTTTTTATGGATCGTTTTAACAAGGTATTTTAATTGCTGACAGGAAGTTTAAGAGTCTTGTTGATATGAAATTTTGCCACAGGCTGTGAAAAGGTGAGTTATACTTATTGCTGCATGAAATAAGTACCAGGTGCTCTAGAACGGCGTTGAGTTTGCTTCTTTGCCGTGCTAATCTAATGCTGCTGCCAGTTGCTGGCTGAAGCACACTGTGTCGGCTTTGTGCAAACACTCATCGTGCAATCGTGTAAATTCATATACCATACTGTTCAAAACGCGATGCAAAATCTTAACGGGTTAATCAGAAATGGCATTAGCCTATATAATTGGATTTGCAATTTCGTTGCACTCGCCTTCATGGTCTCAGTCAGTGTGGTCAATGCTTGAATGAATGAATATTGGGTGAACAGAGGGCAGGGTAGGGAGTAGTAGCGGCGGTGTAAGGGTATTGGAAGGGAGAGGGGATAACAGCTACCATTGCTTAACAGAGTATATATACTATATGTACGTTTTAATTAAGTGACATAAAGTAACAAAGCATATTCTGAAAACCTTCATTGGTACCCAATAGTGTAGTGGTAGACTTAAAATCCATTTATACTATTGATAGTGCCACAGTTCATTCAGATTGTGTATCAACTGAACATTATCTTCATCCTCAAGGACCATTCAATTGATTTTGCACAAGTGCAAATCTATGTATTTAAGATGAATTATGGGGATACAGAAAGTTGGATGAAATGTTTTTGAATAGTTATTTCCAGATTAAATCCTAGAATGACACATAAAAACCATCAAACTTACATCCATTGTGGTGCTTTGTGTACAGGTTTAGGCAGACAAGTTATTATGAAGTATATACAAGTAGTTGTAGTAGATGATAATGATGTATAGAATATCTATAAATGAACACTATTTTAAATGATTGGGTAGATAAATGGTTTAATGAATTGTTTCTTGTCTTAAGCTAGCCTTTTAATTTTTTTTTTCACATTATTCAAGAAATTATTTAGTGTGGGATAGAAATAAAATTGAAATTGGTTTACAAAATAATAATAATAATAATAATGATAATAAATATTTTTCATAAGGCCATTTCCCCAGATTTTACCAGACTGATGTGCCATATGACAAATGTAGATTACATACTATAGATTGAGTGATTAGATTATATTTATGCAGAATCATCAGTGGTGCCCCAAATAAAATGCAATCCAGTTTTTACCCCATATTTGTTTACCCAAAACTACCACGGAAATTTTAAAACTCATTTTATTACTGATTTCAAACTTTTAGACAATTTTGTGATTTTTTTATGATTTTGTATTAATACTTGTTATACAATTTTATATGGTTCTGTTGAACCTGTACAGAAATCATATACTGAAAAGACTGTCTTACGTACTAATACTCTGATATTTTTGAGAGGTGAAACTAAAACCTTGGCTGGCTCATAGGGGGGAGGGTCAGTAAATTGTCCATCTTGTGAAGAAGGGTCAGCTTTGGGTAAAATTTGATCTAGGTACATACATGAAGGTTTCATGGTAAAAGCTCCACTTTTTCAGAAAAATAACTCTCTTTTTAAAAATGCGGACTACATGCAGGTCTGCCCTGGGGACAACCAATACAAACAGAAGGGTCAATATTTATTGTTATGTAAACATGAACAAGAGAAGCAATTGATTATAGGTTCATGCTGCATCTAAATTGAAAGATGAGGTATTTCACTCTACATTCACCAAATATGTGCAAAGTGTCTTATTTTGCTTCTTTGCCAGTAAGTCTAAATGCTAAAAATGAGCCTGGATATCATTTAACCATTGAATTATATATGCTAGTAAATAATTAAACATTTGCAGTAAGGATTAATATGGTGTTTAATGACAACAAGGATTGTTGCTCTTGCATGCAGTATCTCATAGTGTAACCTCAAATCTGTTTCTACAAATGTCTTTAAAACATCACTGTGCTTTTTAATAAGTAAAGGAATGAATATTGGTGATGCTGCTGCTTTCCATAAAAAAGCACAGAAAAAAAGTAGAAAGATGTTTTCTTAACAACTTTTAAATGGAAAGCAACCCAATTTCTACAACATGGCCACATGAAAACACTTACTGTAAAGGTTAAACATGGTTTGATGGTCTTGGATGCCTATTACAAGTAATCATAGGATGTTTTGGTTCCATAATTTATTAGCTATTTTTGTAGTGTTATAAGGCCATGTTACATAACAAGATAGCTAAATAGAATTACTCTATTTTTAACAGGTTGTTTCTTTCAGCTTTTTGACATAACCCTTATTTTATGCTATTCATCTCATTTAAAATGTGTTAACTCCAGCAGAGACAGTAAATGAGGTGAATTGCAGATAGACCTAAGGCTCATTCCCATTGACACTATCGTCTATGTAGATCCATCAAACACCGTGGAGACTCTCGCTGAATGCAGTCAGAGTAACTGAATGATACGCCTATTCCTGGAGTTGAATAGAATGCAGAAAAGCTGGTGATTTTCTGTTGGACACAAGAAGGCTTGTCAGTCTTATTGCATTCAGCGAGAGACCCCTGCATAGACCGTTGGTGTCAATGGGAATGAGGCCCAATTCCCATAGACACCATTGGTCTTCGTGGATCTACCCAACTCTATACGGACTCTAGCTGAATGCAATCAGTTTAACAGATTAACACGCCTTCTCCAGGCATTGATAGAATACAGAAAAACTGATGATTATGCAAGTATGTTGGAAACAAAAAGAGACATGTCATTCCGTTAAGCTGATTGCACTCTGTGAGAGTCCCTGCAGAGTTGGATCAATCCACATAGACCAATGGTGTCTATGGGGNACTGATTAAAATTTATTTTGAGTGTTATATGCAAAAAATAAAAAATTCCGTCCGTAATGCTAATTTTCACATTTTTCAAGTTTAATGCGCTATAAAATCATGATTTCAAAAAATACAGATAAATCTTGTACAAATTATTATCCCCTGAAGTCTCTTCTTTCAGAAAATGCAACTTTTGATTGATTTTTGTACATTTGAAAATTTTATGCCCAGGACACAAATACCACGGAATGACCCTTCTACAAATGTCTTTAAAACATCACTGTGCTTTTTAATAAGTAAAGGAATGAATATTGGTGATGCTGCTGCTTTCCATAAAAAAGCACAGAAAAAAAGGAGAAAGATGTTTTCTTAACAACTTTTAAATGGAAAGCAACCCAATTTCTACAACATGGCCACATGAAAACACTTACTGTAAAGGTTAAACATGGTTTGATGGTCTTGGATGCCTATTACAAGTAATCATAGGATGTTTTGGTTCCATAATTTATTAGCTATTTTTGTAGTGTTATAAGGCCATGATACATAACAAGATAGCTAAATAGAATTACTCTATTTTTAACAGGTTGTTTCTTTCATCTTTTTAACATAACCCTTATTTTATGCTATTCATCTAATTTAAAATGTGTTAACTCCAGCAGAGACAGTAAATGAGGTGAATTGCAGATAGACCTAAGGCTCATTCCCATTGACACTATCGTCTATGTAGATCCATCAAACACCGTGGAGACTCTCGCTGAATGCAGTCAGAGTAACTGAATGATACGCCTATTCCTGGAGTTGAATAGAATGCAGAAAAGCTGGTGATTTTCTGTTGGACACAAGAAGGCTTGTCAGTCTTATTGCATTCAGCGCTAGAGACCCCTGCATAGACCGTTGGTGTCAATGGGAATGAGGCCCAATTCCCATAGACACCATTGGTCTTCGTGGATCTACCCAACTCTATACGGACTCTAGCTGAATGCAATCAGTTTAACAGATTAACACGCCTTCTCCAGGCATTGATAGAATACAGAAAAACTGATGATTATGCAAGTATGTTGGAAACAAAAAGAGACATGTCATTCCGTTAAGCTGATTGCACTCTGTGAGAGTCCCTGCAGAGTTGGATCAATCCACATAGACCAATGGTGTCTATGGGGATGGGGTCTAAGAGGATTATACAAACCAGTGTCATGGCAATTAAATGAAAAACATTATGGAATAAAAATGTTGTTCCATATGAAAAATATTTAAACACACACTGTTTTACTTTTTTTTAGTTTTGAATTGAAGAATTTTATAGAGAGCATTATTTTTGAAGTTCTTGCATCTGATTTGTTGTGGACAGCAGGCCCATAGCCAGGGAGGGTTTGAGGGGGTTCGAAAGAAGCTCCCTTTTTGCTGGGAATAGGTCCCCTCTGGGTAAAATTTTATCTTCTAGTAGGTAGTAGTACATGAAGGTTTCATGGTAATCAGTCCACTTTTTCAGAAAAAGAACCCCCTATTGGACCTCTTGCATACAGCCTTAAAGTCTGATACAGACCTAGGTAGAGAGAAAAAAAATCTGTGTAAAAGTAATGCAAGGTGATATTGTTTGTTTTAACATGACATTAGTGTGCTTGATTCATTATTTAGCTATTACGAAAGGACTAGTTTCTCATGGTTTTTCAGTAAGGGCACTCAGTGAATATTAAATATATACGTAGCTAAGACCATGATGCTGAAATTGCCACTTGTGATTTTAAAATGCACTGAATGCAATTTTAAGGTAAACTTGTCTGTATGTCTTGATATAAAACTTTTTAAAGCTTTTTCACCAATCCCTTTCACTCAGTTATTGATAGGGTATTGAAAATGGAGATGATTAATATATAGGCTGCTTGTATATATTTGAATAAGCTAAGAAGTAGGTCTTAAGGAGACCTTCCAGAAATGTTCATATCCTTCTTCATTTATATACAAACCTCTGAACTTAATTTTATTGATGATGGGCAGAAAATAGATAGGATAGACTCCTTATGGTAAGTATATTGTACATAATCACATGTAGTCTGCTGAGATGGTGTGTGTTAAGTTATACCAAGTGGAAATGCACCTATAATCAGTCAGGAGGCTTTTGCAAAGCTTTAATTAACCACCCTTGTGGCCGAGAAAAGGTCCACTCTGAATCCAAATTTGATGTTTTTTTTAATGAACACTAGAAGGTTTTGTGGTAAGTCCTTTCTGTAAGGTAAAGACCCCCCTCCCCCATGAAATTGCTGGCTTCAGACTTGAACAGGCCCATAGGCATGCAGAGGGTATCAAGAGAGCTGTCCTTTGGGCCAGGAAAAGGTACACTCTAAAACAAAATTTGATGTAGGTCTTACCACACACACATAAGACTTACATCAAATGGGTTTTGTGGTAAAAAGGGTGACTTTTTTGGAAGATCCCTTCTTTTAAAATTTCCTATCATTAATCATATGATGGGCAATAGTTTTGTATGCTATCATAGCAAATATTGAAATTACATGGTGTTTTAGACAAAAATGTTTCAACAACACCATTTCTGTATCCCTAGGCTAGTAATATTAAGGAATGTGATGCTAAAGTACATACTGTAGTCTCAGTGATGACCCAGCTTAGAGTGGAAATAGAATTGTAGTTTCTGAAATCCAGGTAGTGTTTTACCTACCTAAGTCGCCTGTATGTTCCAAGGTCAGATACCCTGTATACAGATTGCTACAGATTAGGAGTACCAGTTGTATGCATTAGAAGCACAAGACAGGATGATATTGAACACTGGATTTCCTTTGTCTAGTTTCCTACAAGGACTTAAAACTGACAGTAGGTCTTAACTTTTGAAAGACTCAAATTTTGGTTCTTTTCAATTCAGGGTTAATGTATATATATATATATGGTAACGTACACAATAATACAGTAATTATTGTTTACTGACTAGCCATATTTTTGTTTTACTTTAAATTCACTAGAGAGCTTTATTTGATATAACAATATAATTGGTTAAAACAAGTTCCTGTTAAGTGTCTGTATATTTGCCAGTTTGGCTGCTTAGTTAGTTACTTAATGAAAAAATATAAGAATTGAAAAATTTTCACAATTTTTGCCAAATATGTCAATAAGTAATACAGGATACTAATACCAGAGAGCTTAAATGATAGCATATGCAAATATGTTGGTAAAGCACAAGCTTCTATTTCTTCAGTGTTAATGCATATTTTTCTGATGTGAAGTGCTTTCATTTTCTTTGTTATTACGTGGCATTATGGTGCAAAGTATTTCCCTTGACTAACATTGAAAGGAAATTAATAATTCTGGACTTCCTAGATGTGCGTTAGAGTTTTAGATAGTACTTGTAATCTTGTATAAGTGATGATGTATGATTTTTCTTGTCTCCATTAGAAAAAATTGAAAAGTCTTAATGATACTAAGTGAGATGGATTTTCAGATTTTGTTCTCGAAACCGATGACCAAGAATTTTAGTCTCTGCTCTCAGAATGTTAAGACCTGTCGGGATGATAAGGATTTCGAAATTTGGTTATTCACCTCTGGGAAGGCAAATTATCTCAAACTTTAAAAAAACATGAAGCTGTTCATTTCTGTTGTTATAAAGCACCAGAGCATATAAAAAAGTCACTGTTATGTCTTTTTCAGAGACTACATGTCTCCAAGAAGGCAATGAAGGTTTAACACATTCTAGATGTTACTAAATTGATAATTTCAAACATTGACTCAATTTATTTATGGAAAGAGATTTTTACACAAGCCCCTCTCCCCCCCTTCTCCACCTGAACCCTTGATAATACTCTGATGCCCAACCTCTCCTCCAAATGTCCTTTCTGAAAATAAAAAAGACATTTTTTGCTTCACTGTTTGTCAAATGTGTATATTGATGTTTATAAGAAGTCAGAGTGCAACCCAGAAGCTGCGGCATCAAAATGATAACATCTTAATTGTCTTGCAGATTGAGCAATATGGAGTCAGAGGAAGTGGAGGCTGCTGAGGTAAGTGTGTCATCTGGAATTATTTAAATTTGAAAGTGCATATAGTGACAATTTCCCACACCAGCATATTAGTACACATAGTCACAGCACTCTGTCTCTGATCCTTGTGGTGTTTGCTGATGTAAAATGAAAAATTGGTTTTCCAGACAATCACTTGGTAGGCATTTCATAGGTGATAGTGGAAGTCATACTTGTAGATGAGAATCCTAAGTTTTCACAGAGTTGATTGAAGTTATATGATGAAACTATAAAATCATGAGATAAACCCAAAATCATAAATCTTCAAAGTAACTAATGCCTGTGATGTTGCAGGAAAAAAAATCTCATGTTCAGCTGATATACATTTTTAATGTATGATTGACTTTGATGGAAATATTTAAAAATTATGAATTCATAAAGAATTTAGTCATACTGTATTTAATAATTAACAAGAGAATGTTTTCACTCTGATAATGTAAGGTGCATACAAGGTATATATGTAATTGCCCATAAAATAAACAGATGATATTTTGCAGAAAATTGTGTCTGATTTGAATGTTGCACTGAATATACATGTACTTTTGCAGCCTACCTATAAATGTCTCATTAAGCAGATCTTTGTAAAAGAAATACATATCAAACATGCATATAGATCTGTAAAAATATGCTGAAAATCATGGTAGGGCAGCTTGATGAGAAAGGTAGTTTTATAGAAAGTTTGCAGTTTCTTATTTTTAGCCGCATTATCCATTGCCAATGATTTCGGCATAAATTTGATTAACAGCCACGCTGTCATGAAAAGACACTGATGATTCATGCCAGACTAATATGTATGATAACATGATTTCGAGGTTAGGAGTACATGATAATACTGCAGGCATATGTGATGCTCCAACTGCAAATACTGAAGTCAGCATTGATCAGAAATGACATGTAGTAAAGGTCATGAGAAACCACTTTTCTTGCTCGCATGACTAGCATGTTTTTGAGGCTGTCTGTGATTTCATTAAGCAAACTATATAGTAATAATAATAATAATAATAATAATAATAATAATTTATTGTCGTATTTAAACCTAAAAGTATAAAATGAGAATTGATATGATCTGTCAATAAAATAAAATACAATTATAGAATAATTAAAATCTATTTTGCTCATTAAGAATACGTACTGCTGTTGGGTAAAAGCTTTTTTTAGTGAGTGTGGAAGTAGGCTTGATGACATAGGTGTAAATAGATTATTCGCTGGGTGACCAGGGTCACCCATGATTGATTTCACTTTCTTGAGCATATAGTGCAGTGAAAAAAGGTTGATAAATAAGAAAATCCGTAGGGAAATGAGAAGTGGAGAAGTGGGGTGTGGCAGAAGAGTTTTGGGCTCTTGTCCCCTTCTTGTAATGCAAGGTCTGTCAGTGAAATGTTATGTAAAACAAGTTTAAGTTTTATGCTATTTATGATAATTGTTGAGTTATATTCTAAATACAAAAATATGACTACAATATGATTCTGTATATTTTTATAACAGTAAATTTCCCTCTTTTTAGCTGTCCACAAAGGAACAAATGTAAATTGCAAATTAAAATTAAATTATTCAAAACCATATTTTTGCATTTTTTTTATAGACCGTAGATGTTATTTCTGTCCATTTTATTTTTAGAAAGAGCCTCTGAAGTTTGCCATAGACTTAGATGCAGCAGAGCCACAGTTCAGAGAAGTCCTTGGAAAAATTAAAGAAGTAAGAAAAAAATCTGCACTTGTATAAATAATTAAACAAAATTTTTTATAATTATACATCTTTCATAGTTCCTGTGTTTTCTTTATTGTTATAAGAAGCATAAGTATTTATGAAATAATTTTAGCTGCTAACTTGCCATGCAGTACCGAACATCTTTCACTGGTGCTAATAAATGACAGACTTTACTCAGTATTTGATGACTTAATTTTTAAATGAAATATTTCTCCTTCAGGTTGCAGAGAAACTTTTGTACCACTGGAAGTCTTTTCCAATTATTTTACCAGGAACATTCACTGAATCCAGCAGAGTAAGTGTTCCAAAGGAGATTGTATTGGAGCATTAACTTTTTCATTTTGTTGTCGTAACCATATACTGTTGATGATTCTTGGATAATTTCCCCTCGGACAGTTTCTTCAATAGTGATTAATACCATGTATGGGGGGATTAGTCCAGAGGGAGAAACCCATAATGGGAGAATTTTCCTTCTTCTGTCATTGATGTATCACTTCAAAAATGCTGTATGTCCAGAATACCCATACATCCATTTATTATAGTTCTTAATTTTGGTAAACTCTCTAATGAAAAGCTGAGTCTCTTTTTTATTTCATTTTAAGAATGTTATTGAACTCAAAGACCTGTTCATTGCTCCAACGTTTGATGAGTTGGATGAAGTGGCCATGGATGAGAGTGGAGAGGCAAAGAAACTCAATGAGAAACAGTTGCAGGACGTCTGGCATTATGGGTATGGTGTTTATTCATTGTTTGTGACATAGATTTCCTCTATTGACATTGTGATATTTAGATAATATTGTTTTTGTCCTTTTGATTCAACTATTATTTGAATTAGATATTTGTTGCCTAGATAAGATGTTTTGAATGAATGATGATTGCCTAGATTAGATACCTAATCATAACTGAATGATTGTTAGTCCTGGCTTTTTCAGTGACGTACTATTTTGTTATAAGTCATTTGCATATATATGTGTTTTAGATACTTATTGATAAGTTGATTTCATCTGAAATCTTTTTCAGAGAGTTTGAGGTTGACAGTATCCATTTCCCTGGACAAGTCCACAGATGGCGCTTGACACAACTGCTGCAGAAGGGATCTCAGAGAGCAAGGGAGTCACTGCTGAATGTTAATATATATTTTTTGTTCTTTCTTTTTAACTTCAGAATGTTTTTACAAACCACTTTGGGGATGGGTTTGTTGAATAGCGTTCATTTGTATAAAGGCTTTTGCTTTTTTAATCTTTACAAAAGTTGTCCAGTCCTGATTAAGCTGCATTAGAACTTAAATATAATATCATTTCCTGCCTGGGCTTGCTTAAGTTGAAATCATGATAATTAATGCAATCCATGATAATAGATAATGGATATCGTTTTTACTCACATGCATGCAACATCTTTGATTGCTTCTTTCATATAGGATACAGCCCTGGCCCTGAGACTGCTGATCATCACAGCTAAGAACAGATTCCACTCCCAGTTCTTCAGTCTCACACAGTCAGCACATGCATGGTTTAAAGGAATATGGAAGTTACTGGGTAAGTGGATTGATATCAGGATCAGGATTTAAGGATAGGACAAAAAGCAACCCATTAATTCTGTAATAAGGTACCCTGATCTTTACTGAATTCTAAAGTAATGAGATAATGATAATATTGGGTATATTTGCTGAAAAAATGAATTTTTTTTTTTTTTTTTTTTTTTTTGATGAAAAAATATGGAAGAGGCATAACTTATTGGGGATATTTTACCATTGAAAAAACTTAAACAAAAACAATTACCATATTTCTCAGTTTTTTATGTTAATTTGATCTATCAGACATCTTCATTGGTATGCCCTCCAATACCTCTGGAAACCTGGGAGGAAAGATCAGAGAAGAAAGGATGAAGCACCTGGTGGCAGAGCTGGCTGTCAAGGTAAACTTTTATTCTTTGGTAATAAGCTTTCCCAACAACTGTTGTGACAATATTGTTATTATGAAATTAACTGTGGTGTTATATTCATGATTATTAATTTATAAATTATAATTAATTAATTTATAAGAAATAAGAAACAATGAAAGATGCATGCTGACTGATTGACAACATGAAGGGTTTATTTTCAGAACTTGAAGGATGAGCCTTGTGGGTCTTTTTAGATCTGGTAATTTGATCTGTTCATTGCTATCTGTACTTTTAGCCCATCAGTGTGGAGGAGTGGATAGCTTTTTGTGAGTTTGTAAAGGAAAAATGTGACCAGATAGGAATTGAGAAATTCAAGGTGAAATTTTGTTTTTACTAAAGCATATTGTAGCTGTATACCTGTGCAAAATTTTTTTCATAAATTTATTTTTTATGAAAATCAAATATACAGTTTTTGTCTTTGTTTATCTTAGTTATGTTTAAGTCATCTTCAAGTATAACTTTTGTGATACATGAAATAAAATGATTTTATTATTTGCTTGAAAATACTTTATCCTAGCAACCTAGACACATCTATATCTATGACTTATTTGTTGTGAATTTTTGTTCAGACCACAGACCTGAAGCCCCCCTCAGTGCCATGCCTCTACCAGACCCCAAATGGACAGGACCTGGATCTCAGGCTGTTCAACAGAGGTTGGTTAAATCCATGGCCATATGCTTGTTGACAGTTTTTTTTATGTTAAGGTCAAAAGCTTTGTTAGCAATAGTGACTTTGGTTAAAAATAAATAGAAAATATAAATTATTTTGGTTAAAAATAAATAGAAAATATAAATTATTGGCCTCAAAAGGTACAAAAAACATGATGTTTAAATATTTAGATTACAAACAAGGAGGCAAAATGCATATACAGTTTATAGTTTATTCATTGTAATGTATGCATCCACCTGGGTGGATGAAAATGACAATATAAATGTAATTTTAGTGAGTATGCTATTAACCAATTACAATGTGTAAGACTGCTTACTTACTAATGATACCTGTTTAACCCAAGTTTCTATTATTACTACTACTCAATTGCCAATGGGTGCAGCACTGTCTTCTAGCAAAAGCAGAGGAGAGACTTCAACCAAGTGTTTAAAGAATTACTTGTAAGCCAGGTTGTAATAATCTTATTTCAAGTTCATAGTAAAGCAACATGTTTCAGTTATGACTTTGTACAGTTGGCAGATCCTACTTATTACTGTTGATCTTTCAGACCTTATGAACAAGTGCATGCCTTTGTTAAGTTCTATACTGGAGCAGGAGGCTAAGGGATGGTATGTCCAGTACAGAGACAGACTCATGAATGAACTCAAAGGTACACTTAGTCTTTTTCTACTCATTATATCTGTTGTGACTTTTGTATTTACATTTGGTAACATATTGCATCAGTGTAACCAAAAATATTATTCAGTTTTGTTCAGGTAATTAGTAAACATTATATTTTTCACATTTTTTATTAACAGAACAAGAATTGTCAAGAGAGGAGATCAGCAAACAGCTGAATGAAGCTGTCATGGAGGAATACTTGCGCAGAGTCTATAGTGCCATTTTAGCCAATCAGGAACTGGAAAGATTGCAGCGTGGCATTGGTATGGTTTGCTATATAGAAATTTTTGTATTATCAGATGCTTGAAGGAATATACATACTGTTTGACAGCAAGGACAACGACATTGTTTAAAATACAAAGAAAATTATTTCATTAAAACTTACTGTTAAGGATGTGTCATTTACAATATGAATAGATTGTATTGTCAAATTATTTTGACTTAATGGAAAGAACAGGCTAAAGGTTCTAAATCTGACTGCTTCCTGTAATAAGTTGTAATTACCATGCTTTCATAGTTAAAGCATAAAAGTATTAACTGATATATATATTACTGTAAACAGGCCAGTTACTGGTGAATCAAGCCAAGGCCATTCTGGTGATGACCAGGGCAGTAGACCGTGTGGAGGAGAAGATGAACCAACACAGGGCACAGGTATCATGATAACTCTGCCTGTATTAAAGTATTACTTTCTTTTTACACAGAGTTTCTAAAGCTCCATTGTCTTCATCTTATTCAGATATGACAAAACAAATGGGTTCATATGGGCGGCCAAAAGGGCAAAAATTCATGTCGTCGATTCAGTTATGTTTCGTCGATTCACTGCCTTCCCATCGATTCAGTTTCAAGTTTAAACGATCCTTTCATAAATTCAACATCTACTTTCGTCAATTCAACTGTCAAACATTTCTCATCTACGGTGTATTAAAACCAATGCTGTCACTATTTTCTTCGATCGTGTAACTATTCTCGTCGATCGTCTAATCTCGTCGATCGTCCAACTAATCTCGTCGATCGTGTAACTATTCTCATCGATCGTCTAATCTCGAGGGCGCTGCGGTAGCACATTGGCCTATCACATGACTATCAAAATGGCAGACAACAAAATGATTGCTAGTGAAATAAGAACATTTTCTCAACAATTTCAATTTTAGTTGTTAATAATTAAAAGATATTCGGTTGTAGGGACATTATTT